TAATAAGAACAAATCATTAGCAAATCGTCTTTGGAATATGGGTTTGCGATTTATGAATAATAGAGAATGTGGAGCTCTAGAAGCTGCTGATACATTGTTAAGTATTCCTTTGTATGGAACTGATCGAAATACAACTATCAAATGGTTAGATGTTAACCAAATACGACGTAAAAGAATAAAAAACTGCAAGGAAATTGAAGCTCTTGATCCTGAATCTATAGATATATTTTATCCATCTTTAGTAGATGATCTTTATCCACATAGACCAAATGAACTAGAAAATATATCTCTTTATGAATTTGCACAGTGGTATGATATCTCGAAGATCAAACCTAAAAATAAGTATGTTGAGTATTATAAAATAGATAATGGTAAATATCTTAAGCGACGACAGCGTGGATATCTTATTGATCATTATAAAGTTAATGTTAATACACAACCAGAAAATTATTTCTTTTCGTTATTACTTATGTTTAAACCATGGCGAAAATTAGAAGATCTTAGAAACGGAGACGATACTTATGCCGAATCGTTTCACAAAGAAAAACTGCATCTTGTAGAAGCGTTGCGATATCATGAAAAATTAGAAGAATTGCAAAAAGCATTTGAAACCGCAAAACAGTTAGTTCAGCAATGCCTAGACGACGATTTACAAAAACAACAGTCTCAGGATGATCCTGAAAATCCGATAGGTGTTCAAAATATAGAGGCTGGTGAAGCAATGCAAGATTTTAAAGATCTTGGTGATAAAGCAGTTCGAGAAATTGATGTATCTGAAATGATAGCAAAATTAAATGCGGATCAAAAACGTGTATTCGATAAAGTTATCAATACTGTAGAGTCAGATGAATCAGTATTACGATTATATGTTAGCGGAGAAGGTGGTACTGGAAAAAGTTTTCTTAATCAAGACTATTAAATCTGGATAAACAAAATCTCAACAAAGATACTGCTGTAGCAGCACCTACTGGTATAGCAGCATTTAATATAGATGGTTTGACAATTCATAGATTGCTTCAATTACCCGTTGAACATGGTCATACTCCTAAATATAAACAACTATCTGATCATGTATTGAAAGTTTTACGAACAGATCTTAAAGATGTTATTCTTTTTTATAATTGATGAAGTGTCAATGATATCTAATTTTGACTTTAATGTATATACATCTTCGATTGTCTGAAATATTTAACACTAGTGATTGCGATGATGGTTGGTTTGGTCGAAAGCATATTCTTTTATTTGGAGACTTGCTTCAACTACCTCCTGTACGAGATGATTCTATTTTTAAACATTTATCAAATGAAAAAATTGCTAATATCTTAATTCCTTAAATGCGGTTAATTTATGGACTACATTATTTGACTATGATGAATTGACAATTAATATGCGCCAGCAAGGAGATGACTCTTACCGGCGAGTTATTTGTCGAGAATCGTATCGGTTTACTAACAAAATCTGATTGTAAGATTCTGGAAAATAAAAAAATTTCTTTTAAAGCTGACTCCTTCGAATCTAGATTAAATGAGTTTATGTACTTTCATTAACAATCTGTCATCAAACACGTTTGTTTACTACCCACTTGTCATATGTGTGATGTTCTCAATGATGCAATGTTAAGTCGCATTGTTTCTAAAGAAATAATATTAATTGCTGAAGACACGATTGACTGTATTTCATATGTAAAAAAGAAAGTATTAAAAGTATTATCAAATAATGATGATGATAATTCTAGAACTGCTGGGCTTTCGAAAAAAATCATAATTAAAATTGGAGCGAAAGTTATGATACGGCGTAATATTGATGCTAGTTTGGGTCTTGTAAACGGTACAATTGCTAAAGTGACTTCAGTTGTACAAGATAATGATTACGTAGAAAAGATCAACTTCTTTTGCCATCAGGTTTAGAATATTTAATTGAAAGAGTAAGTGTTAAATTTGAGGTAGTGGATAGAGCGTACGTTGTCAGAAAACAATTTCCATTATCTTTGAGTTACGGCATCACTATTCATAAAAGTCAAGGGATTAGTTTGCAAGTGCTATTATGGACATTGGTAACTCTGTATTTAATTGTGGCCAAACTTACGTTGCATTATCGCGAGTAACATCTTTAGAAGGATTATATTTAATTAACTTCGATCCTTCATCGGTAATAGCTAGCGAAGACGCAATTATTGAATATAATCGTCTAAAACAGATACACAAACCAAAAGCAGAAATTATTGCCATGTCAAAGGAACAGTATTACAAAGTGAAAGATGTTTTATGGGCGTTACCAAAAGTAGTTGCTTCTGTTCAAAAATCAAGTTTAGATCAAAATGTTCGACAAAGTACTGCTTGGGTCATGCATGGTTTCCAAAATACAGATAAGGTTTCATGCTATGCAAATGCAGTATTACAGTGTTTATTGAATTTAAATGCCATTAGGCAACAATTGTCCAATTGTGATAAATCAGATGTTTTACGTGTGTTAATGCATCGATATGAAAATGGAATATGTAATCTAAATACATACGCAATACGACAATGTTTAGGAGAATATTTTTCAAGTCCCGTAAAACGAAATGCATCTGATTTTTTTTATGGCTCTTTGCGAAAAATATGATTGTATAAAAAAGTTTGGTGAGGCATCAAATAACTTCTATTAGACGGTGTAAAACTTGTGATAATACAAAAACTATTGTTGATAATAATATTTATTTCTATTCCTATTAATAACTTGAAAAAGAAAAGTTATAATCTTAATGATTTGTTAAATATTACGTTTTCACATTGGTGTCAGTCGCATAATGAATCGTGTGAATATTGTACTGAAAGTAATATAATATTAAAAAATGAAATAATATTGACAAAAGAGATAGTTGTGATTCGTTTAATATTTTTATCACAGGATAATAAATTAATGAAAGCAACACACAACTTAATTGAGTGCTATTCCAACAACTAAAGTATTAATAGATGGACAGTTGTATAAAGTGATGAATGCTATATTTGATCATGGCTCAAGTATCGATGAAGGTTATTATATAAGTATGTGCAGAGAAGGAACATCTAATATTTGGATCGAAGCTAATGATGCTCAAGTTAAAAAAAGACAGTGGCCTAGAGGTGCTAAAAATGTGTACTTACTTTTTTTACAGAAGATGGCTAGTAATAATATATATCGAAAGTTATAAAATAAAGAAGCAATTAAAAAATTCTTTATTAAAAATATATTTATGTAATATCTAACTTGTGATTAATATTTAATTATTTAATAATTGTATTTCGATCAGTCCCATATAAAAGAATGTTGTAATGTATCAACAATAATTTCGTGAAGACTGCTTCATATTCTGCATTATTTATGAACTGTGAAAAAATATTTAGGTAAGTTTACCAACATTACCGTGTTTCTTGATAATTTGTCTTTATTTTCTTACTATTAAAAATAGAAATATTCAATGATAAATTAAATAAGCAAAGCAACGATTATTCATTAATGGATTTATAAGTATTAATTGTGAATAATAATGTAGATTTCTAATGACATATTGATTTGTATTTATCCGTTATTTTTGCAATAAGAAAAGCAAAGAAGTTTGAAGGATCTGAATATCTATATGTAACGGTACGGCCTATCCCGTGCGCCACGGACTGGCTCGCCGGTGCCAAGATTCGGGAGTAGGTAGGAGAGTCAAGCGTACGAATCCTCTTTTATAAACAACAGGTCTTTATTGGTAGCTAGTTTATCCAGGTTGACTTAGCCTACGCAGAGCTTATACCTAACTATTTTTAAGCGGAGCTTATACCTAACTTATTGTACGCGGAGCTTATACCTAACTTATTCTACGCAGTTAATTATTCCTCTAGCTTAACCTACGGACGCTTACGGTAAACTTAGCCTAGACGGTCGGTCGCGGTTTCGTTCGGCGAGCGTGTCGCGATTGCGGCGTGCGGCGGTGCGCGGAGGCCGAGTGCCGGGCAAACCCAGGCGGCGGAGAGGTCAGCCCCGTCTCCGTCGGCGTGCACGGTCAGGAAGCCGAGTGCCGGGCAAACCCAGGCTGCGGAGAGGTCAGACCCGTCTCCGTCGGCGTGCGAGGTCAGGAAGCCGAGTGCCGGGCAAACCCAGGCGGCGGAGAGGTCAAACCCGTCTCCGTCGGCGTGCACGGTCAGGAAGCCGAATGCCGGGCAAACCCAGGCGGCGGAGAGGTCACACCCGTCTCCGTCGGCAGGAACGGTCAGGAAGCCGAATGCCGGGCAAACCCAGGCGGCGGAGAGGTCACACCCGTCTCCGTCGGCAGGAACGGTCAGGAAGCCGAATGCCGGGCAAACCCAGGCGGCGGAGAGGTCACACCCGTCTCCGTCGGCAGGAACGGTCAGGAAGCCGAATGCCGGGCAAACCCAGGCGGCGGAGAGGTCACACCCGTCTCCGTCGGCAGGAACGGTCAGGAAGCCGAATGCCGGGCAAACCCAGGCGGCGGAGAGGTCACACCCGTCTCCGTCGGCAGGAACGGTCAGGAAGCCGAATGCCGGGCAAACCCCAGGCGGCGGAGAGGTCACACCCGTCTCCGTCGGCAGGAACGGTCAGGAAGCCGAATGCCGGGCAAACCCAGGCGGCGGAGAGGTCACACCCGTCTCCGTCGGCAGGAACGGTCAGGAGTCAAGATGTCTCGGTTATTCCCTGAGATTCAGAGCTGGTCGGAAGCTGGAAAGGAATAAGGTATCGCTCCGTTGCGCGAGCCGGCTTTTATACGGCTCGAGGGTCCCCCACGCTCGCGTGCGTCGAGGAGGGGCCGAGACTAGGTGGGGGAGCCCATAGACGGAATCGCAAGTGGGTGCCAGAGGCGTCGAGTAAGAAATATACTCGCGGAAATTACTATGGTTAACTCTTTATTTTATGAACACAAGAACAATATAAACCGTATAAACAGGAAACGAAACGAATGAACAAAAGATATATACATATATACAGTGACGACGACGGTGTCGTCACACCACCCCGCGCTTAGGGGGGCCCATCTAGGCGCCGAACTGCTCGGGGCGGCCATCCGGGTGGAAACGGATTACCCATCGGCCCGACGCGGTACGGACTTTATATCTTCGTCCGACGATGGCTGATCCGGCGGGGACCTTGACGACAGTGCCGTCGTCCAGACGTACTGGGATGGACCCAGCGATCGGTGGCCTGGCGGTCGGGGGTCGAGTGGTTGCCGGTCGGGTGGCAGGTGGTCCGGCGGCCGTGGGTGGTCCGCTGGTCGCAGGCCGGGTGATAGTTGGTCCGACGGTCGTAGGTCGGGCCGTCGCTGGGCCGGCGGTCGTGGGCCGGGTAGTCGGCGGACCGATGTTCGCAGGCTGGGTATATCGTCCGGTGTTCGTCGGCCGGGTCATCGGGGCTCCGGTGGAGGAGGGCGGTCCGGCGGTCGATGGCCTGGATGTCGAGGCCTTGGGTTTGGCGGCCGGTGGACGGCTGTCGGCAGGTCGAGGTTTGGCCAGGGCGGCGACCCTTCCGCGGCGGCGCGGCTTAATCTCCGGCGGCGTCGCCAGGATGATTGCCTTCCGACGGTTCGATTGGTCGGAGCGCTGGACTGATGTTCCTGGCCGTGGCGGTCGTCGCAGCCGTCCCGGACTCGGGGTTGCAGGAGGCGGCTTGGCGGGAGCAGGCGTCGGCGGCGTCGTGGTCGGTGGTGCGGGAGTAGACCCGCTTGTCTCAGACTCCGAGCTCGAGCTGATCGTTCCGAATAGTTCCTCTACCTCGTGTCGATTCATAGCGACTGTTAATCCGCCCGCGGTTGCACGGCCTTATATACCCGTTGCACTGCTCCTGGAGGGGATCCGTTCGCGGAATTTCCGATGGCTCGGGGTGTCCCGTGGTTCCAGCGGAAGTAGCGGAGTCCGGTTGCAGGTCGGGTAGTCGCGGTGCCGGCGGTCGTAGGCCGGGCAGTAGCTGGACCGGCGGTCGTAGGTCGGGCAGTAGCCGGACCGGCGGTCGTAGGCCGGACAGTAGCTGGACCGGCGGTCGTAGGTCGGACAGTAGCTGGACCGGCGGTCGTAGGCCGGACAGTAGCTGGACCGGCGGTCGTAGGCCGGACAGTAGCTGGACCGGTGGTCGTAGGTCGGACAGTAGCTGGACCGGCGGTCGTAGGCCGGACAGTAGCTGGACCGGCGGTCGTAGGTCGGGCAATAGGCGGTCCGCCATCCGCAGGTCGGGCAGTAGTGGGCCCGTGGTTCTAAGGGAAACTCCCTAGCAACGGCGTTCGTCCGAACGTTCCAAGGTGGCGGTACTTCGGCGTGGTCGGTGGCTTTTTGCCGGATTATGCGTCATCCTCGTCCACCCGAGGACTTTCTGGTATGTTCGGTTGTGGTTTCAGGTCCTGTACGTGGATATGCCGATGCCATTTCCCGTGTTCGTCGCGTAGGTCCACGATGACTGGGGATATTATCCTGCGTACTTCCATGGGCCCCGCAAATCGAGGGGCGAGTTTGGCATTAAACGCGTCGTCGCGGCTGGACAGGGGGCGTTCCCGCTTCCACACCTTGTCGCCCACCCGAGGGCGCCAGTCGCGTCGCCTCATGTTATAATGGCGCTCCTGTTTTTGGAAGGCTCGGGCGAGGTGCACCCTGGCGACCTCATAGGCCTCTTCCAGGCGTTGTCGATGCGACTCCGGGGAAGTCGGGTTCGGCGTTGGTTGTCGCTCGGCGGGATGGGGAGGTGCCAATTCGCGGCCGTGGAGCAGAAAGGCTGGGGTGTATCCGGTGGCCTCGTGTCGAGCGGTGTTTACCGCGAATTGCAACGCGTCAATGTGCTCGTCCCAATCCCGGTGCCGGTCGCCCACGTATTGACTAATCATGGTCTTGATGGTCCGATTCGCCCTCTCCACCGGGTTGCAATGCGGCGCGTAGACAGGTGACGTGCGGTGCTGGATTCCGAACGATGCCAGCAAGGTACGGAACTGACGGGAGGTGAACTGAGTCCCGTTGTCCGAGATGAGTTGGCCCGGGCATCCATGCCGGTAGATGATGCGGCGGGTCACCTCTTTCGCCAGTGCCGTGGCGGTGGCGCGTCGCAGGGGAACCATCTCGACCCATTTGCTGAACCGGTCCTGGGCGGTCAGGAGCCAGACATGTCCACGGACCGAGCGTGGCAGAGGACCGACTAGATCCACTGAGACTTGCTGCCACGGAGCGGTCACTGGGGTAGCGTGTAGATTCCCGGCTGGTCGTTGCTGCGGCACTTTGTGGGCCAGGCAGCTCGGACAGCTCCGAACGTACCGGGCTGTCTCCCGGAACATCCCCGGCCAGTGGTACAACCGGGCGAGTCGGGCGATGGTCTTAGCCACTCCTAGATGCCCCGCGGTTGGGTCGTCGTGTACCCGGCGCAGGATGTCGAGCCGCTGTTCCCGGGGGACGCATTGTTTCCATTGCTCGGTGGAGGGTACCTCGCTAAAATCCAGGTCGTGTAGCATATGTCGAAACAGTTGGCCACCACGTATTTCGTAGTCGGGGTACTCGTCTGGTCGGCTCTTTACTTCTCTGAGGAGGCGTTGGTACCATGGACACGCTATCCGGTGTTGCATTGCGTTGAGCTGCGGCTCCCGGGAGAGGGCATCGGCTACTTGATTTTGTCCTCCTCTTCTATAGTGTATGGTGAAGTCGAACTGTTGCAGTTCGAAGAGCCACCGCCCCAGGCGTCCGGACGGGTTTTCCAAACGTTGCAGCCACTTGAGCGACTGGTGGTCGGTTACGACGGTGAATCGATACCCCTCCAAGTAGTCTCGCATTCGCCGGATTCCCCATACCACGGCGAGACATTCCAACTCGGTCGGACTGTAGTTCCGCTCGGCGCCGTTGAGCGTTCGGCTGGCGTATGCGATTACTCGTTCCCCCTCCGTCTGGTGCTGCGTTAGCACGGCTCCTAGCCCATGCGAGCTGGCATCGGTTTGTAGCAGGAACGGTTTCTGAAAGTCCGGGCAGGCCAGAACCGGTGTGGAGGTCAATGCTGCCTTCAGTTGTTGAAAGGCTGCGTCTTCGGGGGTCCCCCATGTCCAGTCAGCTCGTTTTTTGGTCAGCGCGGTAAGCGGCGCCGCTAGTGTTGAAAAGTTCGGGATGAACCTCCGATACCACGAGGCCATTCCTAAAAATTGCCGGACCTTGCGCACGGTGGTGGGAATTGGCCACCCGGTGATGGCGCTCACCTTGTCTGGATCCGTGTGTATCCCTTGTCGATCAATCACATGCCCTAGGTAGCGGAGGCTCGGACGGCAGAAGTGGCACTTATCCGGGTTTAAGCGTAGCTTTGCTTCGCGTAGTCGCCGGAATACCTCTCTCAAGTGTTGCAGGTGTTCGCTGAACGTCTTGCTGGCGATTATTATGTCGTCCAAGTATACCAGGACGTTAGGTTCGAGGTCGGGGCCGATCACGGTATCTAGCAACCGCTGGAAGGTTGCCGGGGCCGAGTGCAACCCGAAAGGCATGACCGTAAATTGGTACAAACCCTTCCCTGGTACGGTGAAGGCGGTTGCAGGTCGACTCCCTTGGTTCAGTGATATCTGCCAGTAACCACTCTTTAGATCCAAGGTGGTCAGGTATTTCGCCCCGCGTAACTTGTCGAGCGTAGCCGTGATGTGCGGCAAGGGATAGGCGTCTTTATCTGACATTGCATTCAGCCTGCGGAAATCGATGCAGAATCTATACTGCCCATCTTTCTTTCGAACAATGACTACCGGTGAGCTCCAGGCGCTGCTCGAGGGCTCGATGACGCCTTCGGCGAGCATTCGGTCGACTTCCTCATTGATGACGGCCTGCATGGCCGGGTTTCGAGGTCGGTACCGCTGTTTGATGGGCGGTCCCGGCTTTAGCCGGATGCGATGTTCGGTTCGGTCGGTTCGTCCCGTGATTACTTCAAATAATGGTAACTCGGCGGCTAGAAAGTCCCGGAGTTGTGCTTCTTCGTTTGCTTCGTTGTTTGGTCCGACGGTGATCGTGTTGGTCCGGGAAACCGTCCCGGTCTGGTTCAACGGTGGTGGCGGCAAAGTGAATCCCATCTTCGCCCATAGGTCGGTACCAATCAGCACAGCGCTAGCTAGCCCAGGGAGTATGCAGAAGTCGTGCCAATAGGTTCTCCCATGCCATCGGAGAGGCAGGCGCAATACCCCAGTGACCCCTACCCGTGTGTTATCGGCCAGGAGGACGTAGTCTCCTCGGTTCTGGGCTAGTCGGGGTATTCCGGGGAATAGTCGTGCAGTCTCTTCCTGTATGCACGAGACTTCAGATCCGGGATCTATGAGAGCCGCAAACGGTTGTCGCCGGATGTGTACTTGGAGGTGCGGGCGCGGACGGTACTCTATTCGAGGCTGGGCTGGGAGACGGCCGCAACGTCCCCGGCCCGTTGGGCGTTTCCCGTCGGCGGGTGGCAGTCGCGAGTCAGGACACCATCTTTGCCGCACCGCGAGCAGAATTTCCTTGGTGGCCGCTTACAATCCACTCGAGTGTGTCCTCGCTGCTTACATCTCCAGCAGCACTCCTCCCGGTTGTAGGTGACGGCGGCGACTGATGGTTTGGCGGTCGTTGGGGTTCGATCCTGTCGACGGTGGTTGATTTCCTCAATCTTAGATATCCGGGTTCGGAGTTCGCTCATGGTGAGCTGATCGGTGAGCGGGACATAGAGCTGGTGTTCGGGATTCATGTTCTCGTAGATTTGTTCCAGCTGTTCTCGCTCGGAGTATCCCCCAGCTCGGCGCATCATGGTGAGAAGCGCATTGGAGTATTCGCGAAACGACTCCCCCGGCTTTTGGGAGCGTCCGTTGACTTCTCGTTTTAATCGCCTCAGGTATCCCGGCGGCAGGTAATAATCCCGGAACTGTTCGCAGAAACTGGCCCAAGTTCCCCAGGTTTCGTGATGGTTTCGATACCACAAGAGGGCATCCCCTTTTAGCAATTCCGGTAGGCCCAAGAGTAAGTGGTCTTCTTCGAGGCCATAACTGGCTCTTAGCTCTTCAACTCTCTCTAGGAATGAGAGTGGATCCACTCCTTCGAAACGGTGGCCCCATTTCCGGATCTGGTTGATGATCTCGATGCGTTCCGTTGGACTCAAGGTGGGCATGGTTGCGGTTTCCCCTGGTACGTCACCGCTATTGTTCCTCGGGTTGTCGGACGGGTGGGCAGCGAAGTACAGGCGCAATCGGCGTCTCAGCAGGTCCACCTGGCCTGTGGTATCCACTTCGAACCGGTGGAGATATTCTACAAGCTGTTCTTTGGAAAGGTTATTAATCCACGCAGTCATGAGGCTTTTCGCTAGCTGGACTCTCCTTAAACGGTCCCTGTTCGGGCGCCATGTAACGGTACGGCCTATCCCGTGCGCCACGGACTGGCTCGCCGGTGCCAAGATTCGGGAGTAGGTAGGAGAGTCAAGCGTACGAATCCTCTTTTATAAACAACAGGTCTTTATTGGTAGCTAGTTTATCCAGGTTGACTTAGCCTACGCAGAGCTTATACCTAACTATTTTTAAGCGGAGCTTATACCTAACTTATTGTACGCGGAGCTTATACCTAACTTATTCTACGCAGTTAATTATTCCTCTAGCTTAACCTACGGACGCTTACGGTAAACTTAGCCTAGACGGTCGGTCGCGGTTTCGTTCGGCGAGCGTGTCGCGATTGCGGCGTGCGGCGGTGCGCGGAGGCCGAGTGCCGGGCAAACCCAGGCGGCGGAGAGGTCAGCCCCGTCTCCGTCGGCGTGCACGGTCAGGAAGCCGAGTGCCGGGCAAACCCAGGCTGCGGAGAGGTCAGACCCGTCTCCGTCGGCGTGCGAGGTCAGGAAGCCGAGTGCCGGGCAAACCCAGGCGGCGGAGAGGTCAAACCCGTCTCCGTCGGCGTGCACGGTCAGGAAGCCGAATGCCGGGCAAACCCAGGCGGCGGAGAGGTCACACCCGTCTCCGTCGGCAGGAACGGTCAGGAAGCCGAATGCCGGGCAAACCCAGGCGGCGGAGAGGTCACACCCGTCTCCGTCGGCAGGAACGGTCAGGAAGCCGAATGCCGGGCAAACCCAGGCGGCGGAGAGGTCACACCCGTCTCCGTCGGCAGGAACGGTCAGGAAGCCGAATGCCGGGCAAACCCAGGCGGCGGAGAGGTCACACCCGTCTCCGTCGGCAGGAACGGTCAGGAAGCCGAATGCCGGGCAAACCCAGGCGGCGGAGAGGT